TTTTTTAATATTCGGTGTTTTGATGAACTCGATCAGGATACTGAAAAAGGCCACAAAGCGGAGAGCAGTACTCTCATCTAAACCACAACATGCTGTCCCAATGCCTAAAAGGTTGGTTTTCCTTTTTTGAGGTTCTGAAATATTCTTCTGAGACTGCAACCCTTTTATCACATATTTTCCTTATTTATTTCTGAGCTATTTTTCACTGCTGTCAGATTAAAAGGTGGAAATCCTAATGCCATTAATCACATTGAAAATTCTGAATCCAACAATGCTCTTTTGAATGATGAATCGGACAATGAGGCAAGTTTTGGCCCAAAGGATGGTGGATATGGTCATCAAGGGTTGGATCATTTTCCGAGAACATGAAAATCCGCCTCATGCCGGAAGATGTGACAAAGGTTTAAAGAATGGAATTGTTTTGTTGTGGATTTCATACATTTAACGAACGAACTCACAATATTGCATGACAGCTAGAGAGGAGCAATGATCCTTTGGGAAAATATCCGTATAACTTACTATGTCGTATTCTGTTTGATGGGATCAGATCTCGAAACACTTGAGCATGTGGATGTATTTTTCTCTTTGTTTATTCCCTTAGCTTGATATATCAGAGCCAATGATATACTTGTAGCATGCATGTGTACGGTTTTGGGTAGGCAAAGGCAAAATGGGGTATTTTTCCTTGTTCGTATTTAGAAATTAAAGGGTTTCATCCTTCCAGTAAATTGTTGCTGATGGTGATAGTTCAGCTTCACATGTGTGACCTGCTTTGTGCTGTGTAGCTGTGCTTTTATGACACATGACCAAGAGAACAGAAATTATGGTTAAGACGGTTTCTTAATTCCTGTGAAGATAATACAAGTCCATAGTAAGGTAAATTTCATGTTCTGTATTTTTTATTTTGATTGTATTTACTATTTAGTGCAATGGAATATTATCCGCACCTATTTGGTTTAGGTTGACTAGATCTTATGTTCCCTAATCATGTGAGGTTGTATTTTAGCACCTCCTTAAGGTAACCTATTAATACGCCAAGTGCCCCTCGTAAAATCGGCTGTTTTTTCTCATTCTTAAGAATCACGTCCAAAATGTACGGAAGAGAGAAGAGGGTTTGAGAGGTTTTGGGAAAGTGAGAAATAAGGTGTTTCCAAACACAAGATCATCCTTCTTTCTCTCTGAAAATTGATCGAGTGAGATTTATGTAGGGGAAACTCTGAACCCGTCGCCCACCAAGACGACCGGTGAGGTTTATAGAATATAGTAGAAGATCTCAAGGTCGTACGTGTTTGTTCGGTTCTGTGTAATTCTCTAGATCGGAAATTTTTAAACGATGTGATTTAATCTCAAGTTTAGATCTGTTGCACATAGCATTATAATTGTAGATTTTGTAGATAAACATCGATCGACGTTCTTCATCGACCCCTACAGTTTCAAGGAGCTCGAATGCGAGCATGGTACACAGTAATGAATATAGAGCAACATTTTGTGACATTGCACACCATCAGGCCAATGGCAGGTCGATGTCACTAACAAAACTATTCTGCAAGGACTGAAAAAGGTACTCGACTGCGCATCCAAGGAGTGAGTCAAATAGCCAAGTATTGTGCTCTGGGCGTATCGAAGTTACTCATCGGAGCTCAACAGGTGAATCGTCGTTAGGCATGGTCTATGGTCCCGTCGAATTGCAAAGTCCGATTTGCAACTTGTAGCAAGACGAAGAGAATGAAAGTCGTGGAGAAACATGAGTCGAGGAATACAAAAACGAGCAAGAATGAGGAGGCGACTTAAGAGATTTTTATCCTTGAGGACAAAGATGTTCGTGAAGGGAAAGAGAATGATGCGAACCGGGCACCGGGGGCAAGCACACAAGGCGCGACAACACAACATGTATCGCATGGCCGCACAATGGAGTAGCACCACCATCACAGGCCTCACAATGGTGTCTCACTACGAAGAGACTCACGCGCCAACAAAAGTTATCACGGTTACAGGCTTCATGTTACGCAAGGCGCTGTGTGGCGGCACTTTACAGGGCCTCATGTCGTTATTGGCTTAGTGCCTTCGCGAGGCGACTGAGAATTTTTAGAGCCCAGGTCGCGTGGCGCGAGACTCGTTGCGCCGCGACAACGCGATGAACCTGGACAGTCGAAGGATTGACGTCAATTTCCTACACTTTATTTTAGAAAATATTTCAGTTTCTTAGTTTTGTAGTGTGATTTAGGTTTCTGACTTTATTTAGGCTGTAACTTTCATTTGCTTTAATTATGAAATAAGAAATAAGCAAAAGGCTGGTTCCAAGCTAAAATTTTCGTGTTAACCGACGACCATTTAGCACGAGTTTTCACAAAACCAGTACTCAATACACGATCTTCATCATGGTGCTACAACACCCATGTGTTAGTTTGAAATTTCATACTTATAAAGTTTAAAATAAATAAAAGCTTTTACTTAAATTTTTAAATATATTTTTAACAAAATTATTTTTTTGAAGAACACTAAAATTTACTCGTCCTATTTTACAATATTTTTTAAATCAATATCATGATTGATAAATTTAGTTAATATTTTTATTATTTTTCGACTAGAATTTTTATATTGTATAATTTAATTTTTTTGTTTAGCTATATATAACTATTTTTATATATGCAATATGAGTATCAAATCGAAGATCGTAAAAAATAATTAATTTAACATGTCATATATAAAAGCTCGATAAAAAATAAAAAATGTTAATAAATTTTAGAATATATTTATAATATAAGTTGACCAAGTATTTTATAAATTGATAAGTTCTAGGCATGAATAAATGTCCAAATTTAAATATACTACTTCAAAACAACAAAATTTTGAAACATATATGATTACTAAGTAGAGATGTTAAACAGGCTAGCCCTAGCGGTTTCGAGCCTAAAAGGCCTAGATTTAAACGTGCTACCAATAAAGGGATCTAACCCTAACTCTAGCAGCCTTCGGGCTAAACGGGCTAGGCGAGCTATAATAATAATAATAATAATAATAATAATAATAATAATAATAATAATAATAATAATAATAATAATAATAATAATAATAATAATAATATACAAAATTAAAAAAATATATTAAAAAATTATAACGGCTAGTTAACGATTGTTTTGGCTATTTAGTATTTTACAGCTCCATATATATAACTACACTTCACATATGAACACACATTACACTCTTCCTGACATATTTTTTTCTCAAAAGAACAAAAAATGTTCGAACTATTACTTATAATTTCCATTTTATTACTTATTTTGTACACTTTGAAAATTTTTACGATTTTTGTATCATACTTGTAAATTTATATTCTATCACTATGTTCTATGTGTTAGGTCTTTGTCTCTTGTGTTTCTATTAGCCGTTCTGATTGACTTAAATATTTTGATGTGAAATAGAATAACAAAATTGTTAGTAATTATCTTTTAAAATCATAATAGCTTATTACAACTCGTACTTACATATGAAGTAGGATAGAATAATTGTAATATACATGGAATCTTGAGGCATATTCCTTACATGCTGCCAACATTTACACCGTCAACTCAAGTTAGACGGGCTAGCCCTAACAGGTTTTGGGCTAAACGATCAGGGCCTAAAAAACCTAATTTAAATGGGCTACAAATAAGAGGCCCTAACCCAAGTTTTTTCGGGCTAAACGTCGGTCTATTGGGCCAAGAACCGTTTAACATCTCTGTTAACAAGGGAAAAAAATTGACAAGTAGGTTTGAGACCTTCAGTTATGTATAGTACATTTATACATAGTAGGAAGATTGTACTCGTGTTAGAGGTGGCCAAGGGCCGACCCGACCAGCTGTCCCGGCACCGAACCGGTTTCGGACCGCCTGAATCGGCCTGAATTTTGGCGGTTCTATGAACCGGAACCATGGCCATGCGGGTCAGTTCCGGTTCTTCCGGGCCAGGCTGAGCCGGGCCGCGGGTTGAAGACAAACGGTGTTGTGTGATTTTTCTTTTTTTTTTAAAAAAAAAGGCCGAACCGACTCAAAACCGGCCAAAAACCAACGGGTCGATGACCTGACGGTTCAGGGCCAGTTCATGTTTAATGGCTGGTCGGTCAAGGGCCATGAATTTGAGGCCCGCCGGCTTGGCGGGGTGGGGCGGGCAATGACTCAGCCCGTTGAATGGCCACCTCTAACTAGTGTTAGTTTCATTCATCTTGGAGTTCTAAATAAATGTTGGATAGAATATAAAAATAGTACATAAAAATATATAATATTTAAATTGTAAAGTATATTAATTATTTATATTAATTATTTATTTTATATAAATAATTTGGTGTGCCACATATAAATTATAATCCAACTCCACCAACCCCAGAAAACGACCGCCATTACGTTTACCCTGTAACAATACGAATTTCTCTCTCAATTTCCACTTTTTGAAAACGTGCCCCCCATTTTTCTCCAAATTGATATGTTTACCCTATAACAATACAAATCTCTCCCAATTCCCCACTTTTGAAAACGTGCCCACCCATTTTCTCCAAATTTAATCGTAGTAGGTAAAGAATAAAGCAATATATATACACACTACACCACTTTGTTAGTCTCATCACATATCGCAATCCATTGTCTTCTGCCACCATTTTCCCTTGTCCCTTACTTCTTCTCCCAACTCTTAACACACAAACTCCATTCTCCGCCACCCAAAATGCCGTCGCTTTCCGGAGAACTCGTCTGCGTCACCGGCGCCGGAGGTTTCCTCGCCTCGTGGCTCGTCAAACTTCTCCTCGAGAGGGGCTTCAGGGTCATAGGCACTGTCAGAAATCCAGGTGAACATGAACATTCATTTTTTTGATCATTTTCTTCGGCTTAGTTTTAATTTGGTGAAAAATCAAAGTAAAATTTTCGTCAAACTATTGTGCATTTTTTTTTTTTTTTTTTTTTTTTTTTTTTTT